CGGTATATGCAGTTTTTACACCTAAAAACCTCTTGAAATAAATCCAAGTTTATTTTCAACACAAAGAAAACATTATTAAACAATTATAGAGAATAATCAAGATTGGAAAATGCCAGAAGAGTGCAAAAAAGCAAAGGATGAGTTAAAGACACACAGATCTGAAGGAAAACATACTGTTTTCTCTACAAAATGAGAAGCTGTCGGTTATTTCAAAAAAGGCTTGGAGTATGTCCACACATGTAAACTGGCATGCAGAGGAAGGGGAGAATGATGGAATACTGGATCTAAATTTAGCCACAATTATTATTGCTGCAGCGTACACTTCATTCATGGGCTGAAACAAACCCACAAGTCACTCATCGGTCAACCCAATTCTTTAAAAATACAATGACAAATCTTATACACACACATCTCAGGAGTCACAGCACAAAGAACTTTTTTTATCCTATTGGTACCCTACATACCATTGTCTTTGGAGTCTATGGAAGAGTTGCTAAAGACAGTTTCTATTCCATTATGTCACAAAATCCCAAAAAAGCCTTAGGTAACACAGACTGGTTGGAATGGAAACCTAATTAGAGAAAAAAACATTGTGTGACACTTGGCTGAAAGTCTCACCCATTTATTCAGGTAAAGCAGTCAGGTAGTCTCCTTCCTGACAATGACACATACATTTGTGGAACAAAACGAACAAGCTGCTTCCATCCAAAGTCCTGGCTGTGAGAGGAAGGGTTTTTATGGACCTGGCAGTGTATAAAGGTTGCAGAAGGTCTTCATGGTTCAAAATATCTGTTTGAAGGACTTCTTGGTACTCAAACTTGTGAAGTTACTCAAGAAGACTTCACTAAAGTGCCACCTCTCAGTGCCAGCAGGAGAGCTAAGGAATATGCTTGGGTTTGGTTCTTACACTTCTTTGAGAAAACAGAATTGGACTGTCTGGGAGTATATTCACTGAGGGATTTTTTCCTACCATCATGAATGAGAATAATATTCCTGAGAAAGAATTCTTGCACCAGGAAAATCTTTGCTCCATTAATCCATTTTTTTCCAAGGTCAGGAGTTTATTGCTTAAATATAACCAGAAGGTAAACTGACAATCTAGCCTCACAGTCCGTAGTTGACCAAATACAAAACTTGCAAATTTCTCAGGATATGAGACTCCCTATAAGACATTCGGTTTGCCTATCCACATTTATGTCTTTAGTGACAACAGTGTTGTCAATAACAACTAGGCACGGAATCCTCCCTTATCTATTCCCAGTTTGGTTATCTGCCAGCCTCCCTCCATATTTCTCAATGGGAAGTGAAAGTCAGGCTGACTCCCTGCAACCCACACCGGTGCACAGATGCAGCACTTCCTTCCCTTTTCCCACCATGTCTTTTATCTGGGTTAGGTTACAGAAAGATAAACTTTCGAAAAATGCCGGGAAATGAAAGAGATCAGGAAGTAGAAACATCAGGAATGAAGACCAAGATTTTTATCAATATTACAGTGTGAAATGGATAAAATAGCAAATGATTACTGGTGGTGTGACATGATGGGAGAGAACTTCCCAAGGACTTTGCATAAGAGCAAACACCAAGTATGGGAAACAATGGAGACGAAGGCGAAGAGATGATGAAAATGTGGGAGGAAAATGGGACAGTAGGGAATGAAAATGTGAAAGCGATATGAAGGGGAAAAAGTGATCAGATAATGGGGAAAAATTAAAATATGATAAACTATTTAAATTACAACATAGGATAGGCAAAGAGCATGAAGGAAAAGAACTAGGAAACTGAAGTTTTAAAAGCAGTAACAAAATAGCAAGATGGTATTTTTTTGAGGGAATTAATACATATGGCACACGTTTTGTTCTACTGCCTCTATAGGCGCATAGAGGTGACATTCAGTAATCATCCATTTGTGACAAGATCGTAATTTCTCAGCAATATCCACGGGAGAAAATAAAGAACAAAAAGTTTTCAAGATGCACACTACCATCTGTTTAAGGGCTGTATCCACAGCAACTAGAGACCAAGAAAAAAAATCAGTCACCATGTAACCACACTCCCCAGAGAAACTAGCAACGAAACAGTTTCTAACAACATATTCAGACACAGCAGCAGTGAATATTTAAGGATTAAAATGAGATACATCAAGTAATGAAGTTGGTTCAAATTCTACCACATATTCAATCTACTTGTCAGTCACGGGTGTTTTGACAATCCAGCACTCACATACACAGCTCCATGCTTCAGGGTCCTCCAGACCACATTTCAGCTAGAGAAAGACTGGAAAAGGTAAAGCTCAAAAGAGCTACTGGCAAAGAAATTCTGGGGTGCTTGTTCTTTGCTTTTCCTTTTTTGTAGAAAGTATCCAAATTGAATTCTGCTTTGGACAAAAGGGCTCTTTGAACAGCAGGGGGAAAAAATTATTTACATCCCAGTATCTTCAGTATCTTGGAAGTACAAGATACTGAAGATAAAACTTATAAGAAACGCTTTTCACCCAGTCACCCAGTTTCTTTCCCCGTTTTAATTTTTTTTTTTAACTTTAACTTTTTTTATGTTGGCTTGTCTTGTCACATTCTTCAGAATTTCTTGCAAAGACTTGAAGAATAAGCTTTCTACAAAAGGTATCTATTCAAAAGAGGGGCCTCCTTATGGCCGGAACAGAGTATGCTGACATTGCATAGACAATAGAGCACTGTTAAAACCACCGATCTTCTCTTTCCATACTACTACCAACACTCGGGGAAACTGCACTGCCTCTTTTCTCAAACAGATGAACTGAAGAGTAAAGGAGTAGGAGGAATGAGCAGAGCACCTTCTCAAGGGGGAGCTAGACAAAATTGTTGCACTATGGCATGCAGAGGAAACTGGAAGTTCACTTCCCTCACCAAACCAAATGGAAAGCGTGAGAGAAAATGCTACTTTGTCTCACCTATGGCACACTACCTACAGATAACATACTGTGACTTCAGAAATTTGCACAATGTTCTCCTAGAATATAGTTCAAAGCCATATCTAATGACTGATATGTACTTCACAGCTTTTATTAATTTCAATTTCACAAAAATCTGCTTAAAACTGATCTGCATTCTTTATCAGCTTCACTCTCACAGGAAAAATTATCATCTAAATTCCATCTGTGACATGATCTGTTCCACTCCACTGTCTTCAAATTACACATTTCCAAAACCTCTGAAGGTAAAAGAATTGCCCAAGTATAGCAATCCTGAAAATTATTGTCAATTTTTCAAATATTATTTTAGATTGAAATTAGCCTGCTTTCCATTTTTACCACTACACCTCAACATTTGTGAACGATGCTTTTTGTGATTTAGTTGATGGCCAGTAAATTCTGTAAGTCATTAAAAAAAACAGGCTGGTCAAAAGCTTTCATGAGACACTTTTCTGAAGAGCCTCTCTGAAACATTCATACATTAATCCCATTGCTTTCTGATTGCTGGTTTCAAAGATTAGCAGTTAACTAAATTATCAGTTAACTAAATGCTGCGCTCAAGTTAAAGGCTAAACACGAAGGCAACTTGAAAAGTGTTTCGATAAGTTGTAAAGGGAAGCATCATACTAATGTTCAAACAGCCTTCCTTCATTTTACTCAAACTCTCCGCCTTTTTAAAGAATTCTATTTGAAGTCAAACATGAAAAGACGTTTCTCCACTTTCATTGTTCATTGCCTGAGGAAAGGACAAGATGAGAAGAAAATGTTATCAACTGTTCTTTTATAATTTACTGTTCTGAACTTATTTGCCACTTTTTGCAATTAAAGATATATTAGAAAGACTGTCCTCCGTAAATGGAAATGGTTTCTTTCTCCTATCTGAAAAAACCTGGCTGCACTCCTCTCAGCTGCTTGTAGCCCAACACACACTTCCAATTCATTTCCTATTGCAAGGTCAACATTCAAGAATTGAGTAATTTCTAGTTCCAATCTTATGCTAAAACTGATTAATTTTCTTATGGGAATAGAGAAAAGTAGATCAGGAACTTTCTACCTGAGGAACAATTTCATCGTACTGAAATGGAAAACAAGGAAAACAGAATGATATTATCAGGGACTAGAAACAAATATTCATACTCTAGCTGTTGGCCAAAGCTTTATGCCATCACGCCTCTAATTCTGGCAATGCATTAAGGGTACCATGGCTATACCTACTTGCATGACACTATCTGGAACACAACAAGAACTTGTGTATCAGTACAGAGCTGTGTTTCAGGCAGAGAAAACTCAGTAAAGACCTCAAATTGCTAGGCTGCAAGTAAATATATGTTCACATAGAGCAATGCAAGGCCCATGTTGTCCGCTAGTAACATATACATCTAAGATACAGGAAAAAGTGAATTGAGACACCTTCTACATTGTTTCAATAACCTACAATGCAAAGTCTGAGAATATCTGCATTTGTTGGTTTGTCCACAATAGAGAAAATAAAAAGGCTCTGCTACTGTGTTTGATAAGGAAATAAACCAAGAGCATTAAACATGGCAAACAGAAAATCCCTTGTGGTTTACCTCTGTAAGAAAGGTAGAGAATTTAATTTCTGCCCTTTCTTGAAAGAAATAACCTGTACATCTACAAACAGAGGATTTTCATCGACAATTTTCAACCTCTCTGAGAAGGGTGCTAACAATACAGATACTCAGAAGAGTCAGAAGTATTTTGACTTCCCAAATTTATGCAGTGGTCCTTATTAAAGACTACCAAGAGGCAATCACTCTACCTTTCAGCCTCATTTCTGCTGAAAGAATGCCAAGAGTACTGATATCCCTACAGGATTGCCTGACATTCTGCTTCTGTCTTGTGAAGCAGTTTTAACATATAAAGCTATATAAACCACTTAAATGGCTATTAGCAGTACAACAGTATATGAAAGACTGATGGAGAAAAATAAAAAACCCCATTATTTTTAAGAAACAGGAACCACATAAGATATATGAACCAAAATTGTATCTTTCTCATAACAATATAATCCTTAAAAAATGTGTAGCAATACCTGCTGCTGTCTTTGCCGCCTCATTTGGGCAACCTGAGACATCATGATTTGACGATCCAGTAACTCCATTCTCTGCTGCCTCTGGATGTCAACTGTTGCTCCCATTCCCACTCGAACTTCATTTGTTGGTTCCGCAGATGAGAAGACTGGTTCAAGAGTCCAAGAAAATATCTTTGCTACCCATCTGGGTACACAAAGAATTCGATGAACTTTTAATATACTGCTATTGTAGCAAATCCCAGAAATCTAAAACCAAAAATGAAATGTTAAAAAAACCCTCAAAACTAAAAAACTTAAATACACCAAATTTACTTTGTATTTGTCTGCAGGTAACAGTTGGTCTTTCTGTTTTTTAAAGCCCTTTTTACTGTATTTACCCAGAGTTCTCAGTCAAGAATCAGAGAACAAACAGGGGATTTCTTCACCTCCAACTTCCCCCTACAGACTACTAGTTTTTTTAATCCATGTAGTGCATTGCCTGTGACTCATGAAGTTGCTTGGCGTTCTTTTGTTTGTTTCAGAATTTAAGCCCAAAGCAAGTGACCTTTTCTCAAACTGCTCAAAAATTCAAATAAAAGTTTCATTTCTAGTAAAGGAATTAGTCAGGGTATGCTGCATGCTGACCTGAGAAGATTAAGGCTGCTTTTGAGGATACTGAAGCACTGTAAACACTCCTTCAAAAAAAACCAACTCCCCTTAAGGCTCTTGTTCCCAGCATCCAAGTCTTTCCTTCTAATAAAAATTAAAGCAAATCAGTGGATTTGAAGTTAAATCTAAGAGTATTCACAGACTTATTCCAAAAAAAAGCCCTACTACCTTCTAGGAGAAAAAAACCAATAGGTTTAAAAACCAATTCATTAAAAGCTGTGATATTGAAAAAGCCAGTTTTTGTGAGGCCCTTCTTCCACCTATAAGAAAAATACCCATTCTCTGTTTTGTGCTTGCCTTGGGGCTTGATTTTACTTCAGATTCAGCAGGAGCAAGAGAAATCCATGTGCCCCATAAATGATCTACAGTCATCACTCTGCCATTAATCTGAATCCCGTTACGAAGCCCTAGCACTTGAGCCAGCAGTTTATGCCACATTTCAGTATTTGTGACAAGTTATTGTCTGTTATGCCACAAGTATTATGCTGTGACTGTGGAGTGAAATGAACAGGAAGAGATATGAACCTCAAAAAATCTGTAAACATACCCCAAAAATGCAATTTTGCTAGAAGCAATGTAGAAACTCCACATCTGGAGTATTTATTTATTAGGGGCAATTTATTGTATCTCACTGACAGACATTTGTATAAACATACTAAATGCACTGCTTCATATATAAAGGGAAACAGCATAGGAAAATGCAATATTCTTTGGGAGGGAGGATATTTTTCAGATTATTTACAAGGTTATCATTAATCATCCAATGAGATGATGAGACTTTTAGCAAAAACATATTCTGGTTTGGGAAACACTGATTTCTATTTTATTCTACTTACATCCAACCCTGAGAGCAGTCATAAAATGAAACCCCAAACACACGCTGCCATTCTAAAGTGAGAAATAAGAATGTTAAACTATCCTTAACCCCTTCAATCTTTTTGTGTTATGAGAAATAAGATAAATGTGATGGGATAAGAGTAAGGCCATAATCACATCAGAAGGAAGGCTGCCTATAACATACAGGCAAAGGAAGGTCCTAACTGGACTCCAGGAACGATAGGACGCTGGAACAGAAGCTTCTTCATGACCTCAGAAATTCTTTCCTCAGCTCTAGTGAAACTGTTCCAGATGGCTGTAAGCTCATGACTGAAACTCTTGCACATCAACTGGAAACTAGGATAGAACTATAATCACCGAAGAATAAGAGGAGGAAAATTCATATCACTTCTGCAATTCATCTGCTTTTGGTATGCCGTACTTGAGATGGAGATGTTTAGCTAGCAAGAAGGTCCCTCAGAAGCTAACCACCTGGTCCTGAGAGGGCTATGTAGACAGGCTCCTCACCCAAGAAAACTTAGATTGTACAATGACCAGAAAGGTAATTTTTTGGGAGCAAGAATTACTGAACCAGGTTGCAAATATGACATATACACTTAATCTGATTATTTCTTAGACGCAAAATGCACAAGCAGCACCAGGACCTACAAATTATCTTCCTTCCTTCTGCCTCGTTAGTTGTAGGTAGTATTGTTAGGCAATGGAGCCAGGCCCCATTTTTGGTTCCAGAGATTCTGCATTCCTGAGTGTACAGGTATAACTAGGCAGAGAAAGAACTCCCACTCAGAACGCTTTGTCTAACATCACATCAGCATTCCCTCACTTCTTTCAAATATCCCTCCCAAATTTTGATCTCTGTTTTTATCACCTACAGTCCTTTGTTAAGGTCTAAAGTTTTCAAGGCAACCTAAATCTTGAACAAGTTCAAAAAGTCACAAGAAAAAAACAAAGAAAGTGGTGATAGGAAAATCTACATCTCCCTGAACGTATGATAAATCTTGACACGTGTCTGAACATATTAACCACAAACAGAATCACTCTTTTATCAACTTAAGTTAGAAAATACAGCAAAGAGATAGCAGTATGTCTTTAGTGTCAGTACTTTGGAACTTGTTTGCCTCAGAAGGGAAGGTGTACTGCAAGCACCAATTAGCTGCATCAGTAAATTGTCCTCGTATTTTTCTGAGTAGAGATGGATAGCCACAGAATCATTCAGGTTAGAAAAGACCTTTAGGATCATCAAGCCTGATCATTAGCCCAGAACTGCCAAGTCCACCGCTAAACCATGTCCTTAAGTGCTTCATCTACGCCACTTTTAAACACCTTCAGGGATAGTGACTCAATCTCTTTCTGTCCTGGACAGCCTGCTCCAGTGCTTGGCAAACCTTTTGGTGAATAACTTTTTCCTAATATTAAATCTAAATCTCCCGTGGCGTAACTTAAGGACAGTTCCACTTGTCCTGTCTGGGAAAAGAGATTGACCCCCACCTCATTACAAGCTCCTTTTAGGTAGTTGTGGAGAGCAGCTCATTCCAGAGCACTTAATCAGAAAAAAGGCTTTATAAGGCTAAAAGTTTATGGGCACTGCTAAAATGGAGAATGGCACTTAGTATCACATGTGAGACTCATATACACAATAGCTCCTACCTGCCTTCATAGATTTACTGAGGTCACTGGAGTAGAACGTCTGGTTTACAGCCAATGCACCAGTTGCACTGGGCTGTCTTCTCTCTCCTTACTGCTCCTCAACAGCAGACTAGTGTCTTGGCCCCCCCTTGTCCTGTCTCTTAGACAGAAGCTCATTGCATAACCTAAACATGTGGACTTCAGTGGTCATAGAGCAGGAAGTGTAGAAGTCTGACAATATAAAGTTCACAATAAAGTCTAAAGTAAAAAGCACTTGGTCAAGGAACAAGACAAAAGTGTGTGGGACTAGCAGAAGAGAAGTGTATCTTCTACATATACTTGCCAAGAAACTTACTGTGCACCTGTTCAGAGCAATCATGTGAGACTGCAATTCTTCACAAGTATAAACGTATGGAAGGAGAGCACCAAGAGTACACTGGCAATCCACCTTATCTCCACATCTCTCAGAATGTCCTTCTCTCCCTCCCTCCCTTGATTTACTACTCCAAATATAAAGCTATTAGATGGAAGTATAAGAAACTTTAAAATGCTGTACTCAATTTTAACAAATTTTCAAGAAGTTTTGCCTAGTGAGGAAGAGATACCTATTTGCATATTTCCAATAAACCCAGAACAGAGACATTTGTAGTTAAAATAGGTCTTGTGATTCAGTCTGGTTTGGTGTCATACTCTCATCTTAATGTCAAGTATTTCCAAAGAACTTCTGCTTTAGCTGGTTCATATGCAGAACTTCATAGATATCATTTAAAAAAACACAAGCTTTTAAAGTATAAAGCAACTTCTTACACTGTTTTTGTTATTGATATTGAGTTAATTTCTAGTGTTTAAAAAAGCAAACCAACATTGTTTATTCAATGAAGATGACCTCATATCCCAACTTCAGCACTGTACATCAGACTGAAGGGCTACTTTTCCCAAACAGAGGAGCTTCTACTGTATTTTAGCCTCTAAAAAGTCACCACAGAAGGACATTATGGTTATGTTCACATTGTTAGAATGGAGAATTTTTGGCTGGCATCATAAGATGCATCTTAGTTGTTTTCTGTTAGTCACACCATCATAACCTACAAACTCATCTGCCATAACATACATGACACAATGCAAGCAGAGGAAATGGGAGTATGCTGGAAACTGTGGCATGGTGCAGAAAAAGTGTGCTTATATTTTTTCAGTTTCTTAATACCATGGCTTGCCACCGGTCCTTCACACTAAGTTTCCTAACCTCCTCCCGCCCTTGTATAAAGCCCAATTTCTCCTCCCCTTCCCTCAAATCCTTCCAAAGTTGTATACTTCTTAGAAAAATGGAAGTAGCTGTAGTTTCACTGTTACATTAGGTAAACCAAACATAGAAGCTCTCCAGTATTTTACACGACAAAGACACATATGCTCCACTACTAGCTGAGACATTTAAAATCACTGAACTTGATTAACACTAGAAAAGGAAATAAAACAGAAGAAAAAGTAGGCAGACTGGTGTAGAAAATTATGTTGAAAATTATTTCGCCTAATAGTTAAAACTTGACAACAAATACCCAATTACTTCGTTCTGAAAAATTTAAATATATTCATATGTATTCAAGACTTGGCTATTTTCAGATTTCAACAAATTGAAAGCAAATAGCAATTTTCTTAAGGTGAAGTGACATTTTTATACCTATTTTATCTGCTTAATCCTTGGCATGTTTCAAATTCTATACAACTAGAATCAAAGCATGGGGCTGGAGCTTGAGTCAAGATTCTATATTTACCTTGATTAGAGAAACACATTTATCAAACCAAGAGGGATCATGTGAAAACCACCCAACAAATAAAATGACTACACATGTATTTTCAAGTTGTGTTACAGATGTAACACAACAGATTATTTTGTTTGGGTTTCCTTTGCAGAAATAGTTACAAATACTATAAACAGCCTTTTGCAATAATTAGCTTGAGAGAAAACTAAGATTATAATGGTTCTAAAGTAATTGTCTTCATTTTCGTTCCCAGTTGACTGGGATCATGAGTTTCCCAGATACCTTGAAACTTTTTTCTTCAGAATTCATCAATGCTCCCTTCCTTGGTCAGATGCAATCACGATCAGCACTCAAACACTGTGTATACGCAAGTATGAC